TGAATGCTCCAAACCCTTCCAAAGTCTCTTGGTAGACCTCTTATTAGCATTGGTAGAGATCACAAGATCATCAGCATAGATGATAATTCCCTAAGTTAAATTTATGCTTAAAATCATAGTTCGATATATGTTGAACATTTTTTTAAGATACCGAGAAAGATAATCAAAGACAATAATAAACATGAGAGAATAAAGTGGATCACCCTGTTTAATTTCTGTATAGGCTTTGAAGAAGCCACATTTATTACCATTTATCAAAATGGAATAAAAATTATTGTCTAAAATTCTCTGAATAATCCAACAAGAAGAAATTGAAAAACCTCTAGCTCTAAAAGTATTCATAATGAATTCCCATCATATAGTGTCAAAAACTTTTTTAATGTCCATTTTAAAAATCATATTACCATCTATGCCCTTATTATCCAAGTCAAGAATCAACTATTGAGCAATCATATAATTCTCACAAATGAATCTCCCTTTAACAAAAGCTGGCTGATAATTACTAATGATAAGACGTAAGTAGGGATTAATACGAGACACAATGATTCATAAAAAAAATTTTCAGATCATAGTTTTAAAACTGATAGGTATATAAGCATACAAGTTGTAGCTATCTTTATTCTTAGGAATAAGAACATGATTAGTATATTTAAAATACCTAGGCAAATCAATGCCTTTGAAAAAAATACTGAATTGTCTAGCAAACATCTTTCTTAACAACATTCCAAAAGCATTTATAGAAGGCAACAATATAACCATCAAAACCCATAGTTTTACAACTATTCAAAGCATCTAAAGCCTGTTTAATCTCAACATAACCATGAACTAATGATAATTCAATCTTACTTGTATGCTCAAGATTATCAAAAAACAACTCAGTAAAATCCTTCCCAAAACTCCATAATCACTATTAATAAAATTAGAGAAATAATAAATACCATCAACTTCAAAAAGATCAAGATAAAGTAAAAAAGTACCATCATTTTTTTTTTGGTTTTGATGATATAATTGATTATTGTTTCATTTTTAATAAAAGCATTATAATAGGTAGTATTTTTTTCACCATCCACAAACTGGAGGTCAATATCTTTTTTAATATAAAAGGATTCTTCCATAGCAATAACAGAATTAAATTTCACATGACTAGCATCTTCCATTTTCTTGACTTTTGCTTCAGCATAATTTTTTGAGATGAAAAGCAAGATTCTTATGTAATTTCCACAATCGAAACCCAAAAAAAATAATGTAAACAATATTCTAATTATCTTTAACGAACTACTTAAAAGAAGTATGAAGAGTCCACATATTAAAAAATCTAAATTGATAAACTAAAGGACTATTATCAGATTTAACTGAAAGAACAATATGAGCATGATCAGAACAAGTAATAAAAAGATGCTAAACAGTAGCAAAAGGAAAATAGTCCACCCAAACACTATTAGATATGAATCTTCAAAAGCTTACAAATGTAGTTTAACAGCATGATATGGATCTGATCTAACTCGAACTTGATTAATTTTGATACCATTGAGTCCTTCTCAATGAGTCAGTCAATTCGACTATAAGTTTGTTGAAGTCGTAATTTTAGATGATTTTTAATTGAAGTTTGAATGTTCTTTGCTCAAAAAGTTTCCTCGAGTTTTGTACCATGCCTCGAGATACATGTGAGATGATGAAATTTTTTGTCGTCGTACAACTAATGATATTATCGTGTTCTTGATGGAGCATAACATGGAATGAAAAGTAAGTATCCATATTAGAAAAAGGGACTAACTAGCTCATACTACTTGTTACTCAATTGGATGGTAAGAATTCCATGCATATATGGATGTCATTAGTATAAATGCATCTCTTCTTTCCCATATGCAATAACTTGCACATAATGGCATATTCAAATTTTAATATTGGGAAAAAAAATTATAGGAAATTATTTCTCACTTTTTGGTAAAGTAAAATTCATATAAAACTTAATATAACCATTAAAATATATTATAACATATAAAATAACATAATTCCCCCTCCACCCCCTTCTATCATTATGCTTGTTTAAAACAGTATGCAGAAGATAAGAAAATAACACCCCTCAGTGAAGTAATAAGAGAATAGTATAGAGATAAGATTTCACATATGAATCTCTTCTTAGACCATATGAAATTTAGTCAAAGTTTTATGAATTTTTTTAATCTTTATTTAACTGTGGTGTAAGTTTAGTCAACCCATTTGACGAATATTAAAAAAAATAAAGTTATTATTCTATACACAAACTCTACAAGAATAAAAGATGAAACACATATATTTTTTTCCATGCCTGTTAGGCAAACATGATAACCAAATATTTCTTTTCTATCTATTTTTAAATGTTAGAAGTAGGGCCTCACAAAAGGCATTATTAACGTGATGCACTTTTATGAAATGTTGAACCTCCATTGCATACAAATTAGATAGTAGGTCATTATGAGGAATGGAAGAGCATTAGAGATGATTCCTCTACAAAAGAATCATTCCTATTTCCTAGTTAGGTGAATAGGAATGCATCATGATGACATATAAAGATCTACAAATAAAGAAAGTAGCCAAATTTGATGATCAATTCATCTACTTTTAAAATGCATTGGATTTATTTCCTTAGCTCTTAATAGAGGGGTGTAACAACATATTGGAATGATGAGTGGAGAAGACACCAATTTAATGTGATGGTGGAGGTGGTGTGTGTGCCCAATGTCTCCATCCTTTGGGCAACTAGCTTTGGAATTAATAATGAGGAATAAAGGGAAACTTTTCTTGGTAGAATATTTTCTTTTTGCTTCAAGCTAATTAATTGTGTGTGAATAAAATTTTGGAACGTGAATGTAGTGCATGAAATATTTATCGTTTAATTATTACAGAAAGATGATGTGAAAGAAACATTAAAATTAGCTAAATTTGAAATAGAGTTGAGTTTCTTAACTTTATTTGTCAAAACCATATTAAGTCTAAAGCTTTTAAATCATTTTGACATAGAAATACAATATGACTATTCAAAAAGATAGATATTTACAAAAGCTACAAATACTTCGATAATATTTGTAAGAAAAATATTTTATATCATACAACAACACTCAAACTATTATTTATACTAATATAAATTTTGACCATCTTATAATTTTAGTAAAATATCTAAATATTTGGAATCCTTTTAGGGCCTTAATAGTAGAGTTTCATTAAAAAAAAAAAAGGTTGAGCAACACTTTTTAAAACTACAATACAAAAACATATCAAAACTTTCAAACATAATTCTTCCCCAACAATACCATTCACCTATCATTTGCAAGCATGCAAGCCAAGATTTGTATTAATTCTCTTAGAAATAAGCTCATCTTAAAACAATTAAAATTAGGAAAAAAAAAAAAAAATCCCTACACATCCATGATATTAGAAAAAAAAAAAAAAAAAAAAATCCCTACACATCCATGATATTTTATATATTACACCCATCTATAATGTGAAACATAAACATCAAATAATTCCTTGCATAGAACTTAGATGGGTAGATGATTACATTTTATATGATGATGCCCATATGTCCATTTCGCTTGGCGTTAAAGTGAGGGGAGAGCATGAGAGCAAGGTGATGGAATAATGATTAAAGTAAGGAGAGTGGGTGCGGGGCTGTCAAGGGCCTAGCGGCCTCCATCAAATCCCAGGAGGCCATGCGTTCACGTCCTTTTTGCTGGTGCTGTGTGGAATCCATTGCATGGAGTGAAGGGAACGTCTAACTGATGGAGAGTGATGACCACACCATGATGTCATTCCTACATCATAAATATTAGGAAATGCTACATTGTCTCAATGAATTTACTTATAATCTAGTTTAAATTTAACTATTAAAAATAAATTTCAATACCGCTTAATTCCTACGTATTTACTTAATAACATCTACTATATTTCAATTTTTACATGTGTATCAACTTGCACGCATGAAAATATATATTTTAGTTCACTTAAAATGGTGATATTTTGTATGGTATAAATATTTAAAAAAAATTTAGATGTCAAATACACAAATTCATAAGAATTTGGTGTTGGTGGTTTTTATATAAATGTCCCAAAAAGGAAATATTACGTACAACCCCACCAATCATTTATATCCACATATCTAACACCTAAAATTTAGTATTTTACATTTCTACCACTCAAATTTTTCATGTTAACAAAAAATATCACAATTTTAACTTTAGGAAAATAAAACACCTTTGCATACATAGCCATGGTGGTATATTTGTAAAAAAATAAAATTCAGACACTAGAAATGTGAAAATATAGGAATTTAGCCAATGATTGTCTATAATGGGTCAATGTATCCAGATGCTAAGGTGGATCATTTCCCAAACTAACTGTTCACAGTATGATTTTACTTTCAAATTGGTCGAGATTTAAGCATTAGAAACCAAACGAAAGTAATCCTACTGTTTAAAAATGACATTGAGCCATCAAGAGAATGATGCAAACCAAACAAAATCGTTCAAATTGATTTCAATCTACAATTTTTCAAAAAAAAAAAGAAGAATTAAATTATGATTTGAATTGATTCAGATGACCGTTGAACCTGCTATTTTTATTTACTTCAGTTTGATTTAACGGTAGACACAATGTACATGCTGTAAATTTAGAAACAAGATGAAATTGGAAGTAGGGCGAGAAAGTGACGGCAATTGTGTCAATCGAAGAACAGCGCAATAATAGAATCAAACAAACAAATTTATACAGATCATCACACACTTATGTGGGGGCTACAACGATTAAACATCAAGCAAGCTTAGTGATTTAATAGCTCAACAATATATTCCCTTGCACTGCAGATCACTCCTGCATCTAACATTAAATCAGCACATCATGCATCAAAATATCATAACAAGTACATTAAAAAATCATTAATATTATTATTAATCAGTTCTGCTGAGCGGTAAATCTTGCTTGCAACTTACCTTGGGCTTTATTTTGGCCATTGTTGAATTGACCAGGTAGAGATAACTTGCAGAAGCCAGCAACTCATGCCCTTTGCCACGCTGGAAGATGTGCGGGACCATATATGGTTTGTGAGGGACACCGAGGCGCCGGGGCCCAGCTCACCAGCAACAGAGCACGTCATGAAGTTGTACTACAGCAGAAGAGCCTGAGTATATAATTCTTGATGTGTAATTAATCAATTGCTTCACTAATCATTATTTTTATTTTTATTTTTATTTTCTTTAGCCTCCCCCTAAGTACAAATTTAAGCAAATTTCTGCAACCCAAAACTCAGATTTCTCACAGAATTATGTAATTCAGGGATGATTTATAGAGAGAACAGCTTGGGAAGTTTGTTGCACACTATGAGAGAGTGGTGCCTTTAGGACAATGCAGCCAGGCCTGTAATTCTTTCTCTAATGTACAAATTTCACATTTAAATGAGAAGACCGAATATTTTTGCATCAAGGAAACTCTTTTTGCACTATTACAATTATATGCTGCTAAGTGGCATTATGTTTGAAACTTCTAATTAAAGGACATAAGAGCAACACAGTAAGTTCATTGCAGTGGTGCTCCACAACATTCCAAGATGGTGGCTCAGGCTGTTTAAAAAAGCTAGGGAGAATAATCAAAAAGCATGAGAACCTATGCAATAATTTAGAATTTTATGGTTTTAGAAAGTTGTGCTTTTCTAGAAAATGAAAATTGACATCGAATGGTGGTCCATGAGGCTCCAAGGACAATTATTAATATTTTCATTAGTGGAAGACCTTCAGTGAATTATTTAAATAATAATGATAATAATAGTCATAATAGTAATAATAATAATACAAAAGAAAATCTAAAACCTCCAACATTCGATAGGAATAGTGCTTAGGAGGAAGCTTATCCTGTTTCAAATGTGAAAAAAAAGGGTTGGTTGTAGTCTATTCATGTAGATGGGTTCATTTAAGGTTTACTCTTAGAATTAAGTTATGATGTATACAACAACAACAACAACAACAACAAAGCCTTAATCCCACTACGTGGGGTAGGCTACATGAATCCTTTTTCTCCATTGCATCCTATTTAGTGCCATATTTTCATTTAGTTCTAGTAAATTAAGATCATTTTTAATACAATAAGCCCAAGTCTTCCTAGGTCTACCTCTGTCTTTCTTAACACAAGTCGAATCTAAAACATCTACTCTCCTAATCGGATCATCAGATGGTCGACGTTTAATGTGACCAAACCATCTAAGACGACTTTCTCTAATTTTGTCCGTCACAGGAGCTACGCCAACCCTATCACAGATATATTCATTTCGCATTTTGTGTCTAAGTGTAAAGCCACTCATCCACTTAATCATTCTCATCTCGGCAACACTTAACTTATTATTATGCTTCTCTTTTAAAGGTGAACATTCAGCGCCATAGAGCATTGCGGGTCTCACCAACGTCTTATAAAATTTTCAGCGCCATAGAGCATTGCAGGTCTCACCATCGTCTTATAAAATTTGCAGCGCCATAGAGCATTGCAGGTCTCACCATCGTCTTATAAACCCGAAGCATTCCTCCACTTCCCAACTTGAATTCTACTATTAACATCGCCATCTATATCACCATCGCTTTGAACAACGGACCAAAGATATCAAAATCATTCACACTTTTTAATAATTTGATCACCCAAAGTCACACTTCTGTCATTAGAGCTATTACTACTAAAATTACATTTCATATATTCAGTTTTAGTTATGATGTATCTTAGATTTTAATTTTTTTTAAGAATCTCAATTGAATGCATAGAAAAATCGTAGTCTGTATTAGGTTTTATTCATTCAAACAATTCAAATCATTACATTAGTGAATCCAAATAAATCTCTACACAAATCCTCCTCACCTAAATCATAGTAAAAACATGGCAACCAAAAATGGGAAGGTAGAAGAGAAAGAAAGGGTTCTCATGTGGGGATCCATCATTCTGAATATATACAAAGAACTTATGATGGAAGGAATTCTACAAGTGCATCCCAGCAGAGCATTAAAGATGGTTTTTGAAGAAAAATACTGAAACAATTTACTATACATCCAGATGGCAACAGAGTTGTACGGTGTTGAGATTCTCAATCAATAGATTTTAATAAATAACAGTGTAAGTGTGCTCCAACTAGATGGTTGTGGCAATAAATTCTGAAAGGTGAGGCAAAGGCTGCAGATGATATCATGGCTGGCATAACAATAGAAGTATAAAAAGATATGTAGGTAGAGCTATTTTAATCATATGCATACGGTAAGCTAACAAAAAATTCTGTGATGAGCATAGAATTTCATAAGTTCGCCAAAACCAAAGACATGGTCTACAAATTATGCAGATCCACGATTATATCTTATGTAATTTGCTAATCAAATTTTGAATTCATGCATTACCATCCTGTTGCTAAGCATTTTGAATACCAATAGAGGACTTTTAAACAGAAAAAAAGAAAATGTCACACTAATATTTACATGACACTAAAAGTTATTGACAGGTAAATATCATCAGATTGCAAAAAATTTGTGCCAAGCCTCACATTGGTTAATTATTTTAAAATTTCTTCACCAACTAACATGTTAACTAATATGTTAATTGATCTCATGTACCCTTTTTTCACTCGAATTGGAATGAAATTAAATTTATAAGAAAAATACCTTCATCCTTAAAATTTTGCCTCGTTTATAATAGGCCAAGTTAAAATGAGGTATAGCCACTCGATCTACCAATATTAGATAAGAAGAAGAATAATAGGACAGATGGAAGCCCATGCCCTTTTTTCACTCGAATTGGAATGAAATTAATTTTATAAGAAAAATACCCTCATCCTTAAAATTTTCCCTCGTTTATAATAGGCCAAGTTAAGATAAGAAGAAGAATAATAGGACAGATGGAAGCCCCGAGAGAGCTAATGATTCTTAAGGCCAATTCTCATTAGTATAGGTCATTTTCATTAAGGTCGAGTTCAGAGTTAAAGGAAATCAGAAAGAAAAAAAAAATGTAATATGTAACGACTACAAGATAAGTCTTTCACCCAACATCATTTGGTTAAGAAGCATCAGTTCAAAATAAGAAATCGCCATAGATCAAATAGTTGGTACTAAGAGCGAGAAAGAAGTGGCGATTTTTACATGACGAAATGTACATGAGTATTTATGTTATTTTACGGTCAGTTGATGGTTTGCTGACAAAGTAACCTGCATAAAACGTAAGCCAAATATCAGACATCAAAGTGAAGGTTTTTCAGAATCATAGATCGATCTAAAGCAGAACCTATAAATCTGAATGACCTAAATGATTTTTCTTTTCTTTATTAAAAATATGTGCCACGTGATAACTCGCATTAAAAGAATTTATGAGTTAATGATAGTCATTGAATACAATAATTATTGGAACAATGGCATACAATAGATGCAAAGACAATTTTGCAGATATGGAAATGAGGTTCGCACTCAATAGAGTCCATCAAAACAGGTTATAGTGTAATTGTGCTTCCATGTTCAAATGGATTGGTTTTGAACAAAGTTTAGAAAGGAGAGGCTAAGGCTGCATATATCCAAAAAACCTGACATATATAGCAAAAAAGTAAAAGAGATTATAGGCTCTGTTTGGGGCGATTGCAGCTTCTCAGCTTCTCAGCTGCAGCTGCGTTACGCCAGAAAACTGCTGCGGGGAAGCAGCTGAGAGGAAGATGAATGTCTGTTTGGTGCAACTGTGTGAAAACAGTTGTAAAGAAGTTAATCTCAAAAAATAACCATGTTGCCCCTTGTTTAGTAAATTTGTTTAAAAGAAAACTGTAACAGCCACATTTTTGAAACTCCATAAAAAAAATTTATTATGTAAGAAATTATTGAAACTTGAAAGTGTTATTTATGTAACAAATTTAAGTGTTAGGAAACTAATTAATTATTGTTATCTAATTAATTTAAGTGTTAGATATATGTATATATATGGAATTGATTAATATATGTTAAAAGTTAGTTGTTAGATAGGTAAATATATGAATATAAAACTTTTATGATCAAACACCTACACTTCAATTTTTCATTTGCATCACTCAAATGTTTCATATCACATTTGAAATACTCCCATTTTAAAATTGTAAAACTGTTATTAGGTGGCAGAAATGTAAAATGCAAACTTTTAGTGTTAGATGTGCAAATATAAATGCTGCTTAAAAAAATAAACTGCATAGTGTAGTATCCATTTTGTAGTGTATTACAATAACAATTCATTGTTCACATAACAAAAAACTTCATAATCATGGATAACTACCTTTAAGTCTAAACTTCAATGAAAACAGTCCAGAATTACAGAAACACTTCTCAAGTAACAAATAGTATCAAGAGAGAAAAATCTAACACTATTACAATGACAATTAAAAATATAATAATATTATTTTTAACATTCACACGGTGTAGCTCCCGTGCCAGCCTTTCCTCAAGTGAAGCTCGCCATTCTCGACCATCGTCATCAGAGGAATCCGCCTAAGTGTCTACCCAACGAAAGAAGTTGCACTATTTTGCGATGCTCCTTGGGCAGCCATAGAACTTTCTCTCGTAGCTGTGCGGCTGACGTGGCGTCAACAGATTAGTTTGGAGGCCATAGTGACAGAGCAATCGTCGAGATGTCCCAGACATCCTTGAACTCATATTTTCTTGATTGCAACAAAAGATATAACAGCTTATATTACTTGTTCAGCAAATCATAACCTTTTCTACTTGTGAGAACTTCAAATTGCAGAGAAAATGCATAAACGAGATTGTTCACATTCGAATTCTTCGCATACAGAACATGAAAAAGGAAAACAATAAATGGCAATTGATTTTGTGTCACATAAATATTCATAAGGAATGCTAACAGCAGTAGTGAACAAAATGGAAATTCTCTTTTAATTTAACCATGACTTACAATAGTTTGGTAGTCAAAACAAATTACAAAGAAAGCAATCACCCTCCAACCAATGCATTCGTAATCTGTTCTCAAATGGTCATCATTTCATTTGCACCTTCCCCTTCCTTCGTGCAAATGGTGGAATGATCGTTCTCCTCTCGTGACAGAGATTGACCAATGCGGTATTCAAATGCTTCGACAGGCACTTCTTGTTCATTATCTTCGGCACTGCGGAAGTCAACATCAAATCATGATGGATGCCGCCTAATATAGTTGTGTAGCCTCATCGTGGCTATCACAATTTTGACTTGTTTGAGAAACGGGTAAGGTGACATATCGCGTAATATCGCCTATTTCTTCTTTCAAACGCCAAAAGTCCTCTCGATGACGCCTATCAAGCAATAATGTCATTTGTTAAACAACTCATTTCTGCTTCGCGTAACATTAATGGCCCTTTCAAAATCAAGTATATGATATCTAGTGTCAGGTTAGGGTTTAAGATACCCTCGCTGCAATGGATAGCCGACATCCACCAAATAATACTTTCCTGTCAGGAGTTCCACCTTCAGTGTGACATATAAAGGAAAACCAATAAGATGTCGGCATGCAACGTACCGTGCCGAGGGTGAGGGAAGTTCTAATGAGGA